AAAAAAAAAAAAGTGTAACACCACTCTGAGGCACCCCAGGGGGTTAATTTTTGTATTACAGTGTTTCCACTCGGATACTCTTGCTTGTTCCTCCATTAAAAGCCCAAACACTAGTTGTTTACTCAGGTGATAATTTTATGATAATTCTTTTTTTTTGAAAATAGTTTTTTCAGTTATTGATAGACCTTTATTTATTTCTATGTGGTACTGAGAATTCAACCCAGGCAATTGTGCTACTGCTGAGCCCCAGCCCCAGGCCTTATGATAAATCTTATGTGATCCGATGTTTATGAGAGCCTAACATATTTTTAGGCTCTTTTCTGGGTGTCACAAGAAAACAACAATAAACAAGTTTAATAACCTCAAAAATTAATTACCCAACATACTAGACTGCCTACAGCGTGGGCAGCTCAATAGCTCTTAATTAAAATGGAGGTGCGGCCCACACAGTGGTGCACATCTGTAATCCCAGCTACTCAGGAGGCTGAGGCAAGGGCACCATGAGCTCAAGCCCAAGATCAGTAAAATCCCATCTCAAGAAATAATCCACCACCAAGAACCAACAAACACACAGCCATTCTGTCGACTCAGAAAGGCTTGGCATTAGGGTCCAATTATGAGCTCAAGCTGAAAGAATGCAGCAGATGTCCCCAACCCTGCTCCCAACGATGGCCCTCAACCCTGGCTACATCTTCACATCAATCAAGTCTACATGTGTGGTCCTGTGTTCCTGCTGGAACCAGAGAATAATATATGGTTAATGGTCTCAAAATTGTGCATGTGAATATCAAGTGTGTGAGACAATCTATGGGGTGTGGTTTGACAATTTCTTCCATTAGTTTCTTTTTATCCTTTGAAAAAGAAAGATTGTGTACTTTACCAACATCTTGTTACCGGGTCACCAGCAGACTCAGTTTGTGAGAGGTACCTGGCTCCTCAGAGGTCACACAGGAAAAGCAGTGCTCCCCCCATTGCAGTGGCACCCTTGCTTTTGTGTGTGTGTGTGTGTGTGTGTGTGTGTGTGCGCGCGCGCTAGGGTTTGAACCCAGGGCCTTGTGCATGCAAGGCAAGCACTGTACCAACTGAGCTATACCCCATCCCACCTTTGCTCTTTAACTTTCAGCATAGTGACATATGATTGTTGTCTATGTTTAAATAATCTCAATGGATAAGAAAATAAGCTTTTCATATATAAACAGGAGTAAGCAGCTTTTTAAAAAGTGGAACACTCCCCCTTAAGTTGTAGCCTGCATGCATGCCAGTCACTCTATCCACAGAAGTTCTTCTTAATAAACAGAAAGTTTGGATTTTCCTGGATTTTGTTATGCACGTGGAGAAGGTAAACATTAGAATGGCCTTTCTAGCTATTCCTATATTTTACTGTACTTGAAAAAGTTGGTTGGGAATGATCAAGAATTCTGTATGTTGATTTGATCTTTCCCTTGTCATTTCTGAAAACAGTAAGTGGTCTTCGGGGTGCCCACGGACCAAATCATGCTTCTGTGGATTTATATGTTGAATCCCTAACCCCCAGTGTGACCATTTATGGAGAGAGAATCTTTGAGAGGTAAGTAAGGTTAAATGACGTCATAAGGGTGGAGACCTAGTCCAATAGGACTCTGGCCTCTCTCCTCTCCCTCTACCATGTGAGGACAGAGGGAGAAAGTGGCTATGTCCAAGCCAGAGGAGAGCCCCCACCAGAATGTGACAGTGCTGGCACCCTGATCTTGGATTTTCAGCCTCCAATACTGTGAGAATATAAACTTCAGCTGTTTATTCCACCCAGTCTCTTTGTTGTGTTTATGGCAGTCTGCACTGACAGAGCGAGGGCTCAGCTTGCAACGATGGTGACACCCTGATTATTAATACAGTAAATCCCACAGAAGCAGAGCTCAGTCTTTTTTTTTTCAAAGAGAGAGTGAGAGAGAGAGAGAATGAGAGAGAGAGAGAGAGAGAGAGAGAGAGAGAGAATTTTAATATTTATTTTTTAATTCTCGGCGGACACAACATCTTTGTTTGTATGTGGTGCTGAGGATCGAACCCCAGCCACACACATGCCAGGCGAGCACCACATCCCCAGCCCCAGAGCTCAGTCTTAAAGTGACTTTCAAATTCAAACATCATTTGATTTGGGGCAAGTCACTTTATCTCTAAGACACAGTTTCCCCAATTATAAAATAGGGTCAACAGTAGTCCACAAAAATTTTGAGGTATAATCATAAAGGGACACTTATTTAATGCTTGGTACATAATGAAGATTTTATATAATTAGAGCCACCTTTAAAGACTCAGTGATTTCATAATATTTTGATGGATAGTGTGAGTAGGAAAACTGTGGCCCACAGCATTCTTGTAAGGGGGATAAAGTCAGGCTATGTTGTGCATTATTTATTTTTTCTCATTTCCAAACATGTAGGTTAAGAATCAGCTCCAATCTGAATGAAACAGATGCACACTGTCCCGTGGTAGAAGATGTAAAATGAGTGTTTTTCTATATGCCTATGATGTGGCTTGATCACAGACTTCAAGTAGCCACCGTAGACATCTGGGCTTGCCCTCTGATGATAGTGAGGGGCTACAAACTGGATCCTCTAAGGAACAGGTCTGAGTCGACGGACGTCCTGTGGTCTGTGAGTGCCAGTGACCCCACCCAGCCTGGTGCCGCGTTCCATCATCTGCTAGTACCTTCTGCAAGGGTTTTGCTGGGTGGTGTGCTCATTTGCTGGGAGTGTGACAGCCAAACGTCACAGACTGGATGGCTCTGACATAAGGAGTGTCTTTGCTCACAGTTCTGGGGCCTGGAAGTCCGAGAGCCAGGTGTCGGCAGGGCTTGTTTCTTCTGAGTCCTCCCTCCTTCGCCTGCACAGGGCCACTTCTTGCTGTACCCTCACATGGCATTTCCACTGCACCCTCATCCCTGGCGTCACTATGTGTGTCCAAATATCCTTTTAAAATAAGCACATTAGTCAGACTGTGTGAAGATCCACCCTAATGGCCTCATTTTTAATTAACCACCCCTTTAAAGAGCCCATTTCCAAATATAGTTACACTCTGAGGTTCTGGGGATTAGGGCATCAGCGTATGATTTTGGGGGGATGAGGGATATGTTCACCCACAACAGGTGCTAACCCAGGAAGTTCTGTCCCTTGATGCTGCCTTTTAAGATTTTTCTCAACTGATATTGGGCCCATGCTTTAAGATTAAAAGCTGTGACGTTCTGGTTTCCTGCCTGTGTCTGTGTGTGACACACTGGACAGAGTCTCTCTCTTCATCTGGAGAGAATCTGTTGACTCTCCTAGTGGGGGCACTCTGTTCAGTTCCCATCTTCACGCCACTTCAAAGTCTCCAAAAATATCCCCAGCTATCCCGGCCTGGACTGCTGCTCACTTAGGTCCACCTTCAGAGGCTGTGCCCCTCTGGCACGGGAGACCATCACAAGCCCACACTGCCTCTGAAGGTCTACGTGGAAAGCTACACCAAGGCCACCACTGCTCATCCTGCCCCCCAGGTCACCGACTCCTGAACCCAGATGCAGAATTGTTTAGGGAATTTTTCTTTCTTTTCTTCTTTTTTTTTTTTTGAAATAATAACAGTCACTATCAACTTTTGTTTAACTTTTTTTATAATCTTTGTTCTTTTTAAAATATTTATTTGTTTGTTTATTAGTTTTTTAAGTGGACACAATATCTCTATTTTATTTTTATGTGGTGTTGAGAATTGAACCCAGAGCCTCATGCATGTGAGGTGCGTGTGCAATCACTTGAGCCACATCCCCAGCCCCAGGGAATTTTTTCCAAAGGAGATTTATAGTTTAGAATTCATCCCAGTTGATTTTATGACCCTAGAAGGTGACGTGCTCTAAGCAAGCATGAGCCTGCTTCTTGATCACAGCCACACACTGCCACATTTCTCATGAGGTCGCTTCAAAGGCTGTTTGGTGAAGCAGCCCAGGAATATTCCTGTTTTTAATGAATAATATTTTCACCAGCCTTTCCTCAGAGTACCCTCCCCCACTGGAGGAGTCCCTGTGTCCTCAGTGCATTCTCTTGATGCTTTACTCTGTTACAAGCAGAATCTTAGAAAAAAAATATTTATCATTTTGAAATAGTTTAAAGCCTTCGGGCCAAGGTTACTTGTAAATGTATGAGATTGCATAAAACTCTTTGAATGCAATATTTAAAATATTTAATGCCACCCGACTGTTCTGTCATGTAAATTTCATCTTCTTTCATCTTGCTGGATCATGCATATCTCTGTGGGTGCTTGAAGTCAGGATTTTGAGCAGGCTCTTCTGTGGGTGCTTGTGTAGTTGTCTATATGTGCACTTGAGGGAAGAGTTCAATGCTCCTCTGCTTTCCTAAGTGTCATGGAGCTTATGTAATGCGGTGCATCCACCTTTCGCTTCTCAGCAGCAAGGCAGCAGAGCCCCTGGGGACCCCGCAGGTTTGAGGAAGGCTGTGGAGCACCGCAGCTCCTAAACCTCAGCCACCTCTGGAAACAGCCAAAAATGCCACCTTGCCTTTTCCCCTTTAAAGAAAACAGTCCTTTAAAAAAAGTGTGAGACAGAAGCACTCCTGTGCTGAGATCTGGAGGAGAATGCGCCGGACGCCTCACTCGGGGTTGGCACGCGGACACCAGCACCCTCCAGACCTCCTCCCCCAGGGACGTGTGCGGGGTGGTCGGGAAAGTTCATTGGCCAACTTGTTCCCCGCAGGGGACCCGCTTCACAGGGAGGCGGCAGCACCGCGGACAGCGCCAGAGCCGCGAGCCCGGAGAGGGGCGGTCAGCTGACGTCTGACGTCGGGCTGGATCCCCACTTTGATCAGGCAGGTCCGGGGGGCGCGCCGCTCGCTCTCTGAGCCGCCGCCCCAGACGCGGTGGGCACGGGACAGGGGCAGGGCAGAAGGCAGTTCCCAGGGAGCAGGCACCTGCCCGGCCTCCCCGCGCGCAGCTCGGCCGCTGCCCGGAGAAGCACCGGCACCGGGCAGCCCTTAGAGAGCGTCCGCCCTGACGCACAGCCCGGCTCCGGGCACCCACAAGCCGCGGGGCCGACCCGCGAGACGCTGGGCTCCGAGCGACCGGACAGCGTCTCCGCGGAGGTGAGGCACCCGGGACGGGTCACCTCTTAGGCGGCCCTGGTGGGAGGCTAAGCTCCTTGACCCTGCTCTCCGAGACCCCGACTGCAGCCCGCCTCCCCCTCTCTCACTCCATCTCTCCTGGACGCTCACCGGCAGGAGGCTGGGCCCCATTCACGGCGCTGCCCAGAAAGCTTGCCACTGACGAGAGGTTGCCAGCGCCCACACTGGCTCTGGGGGCAGTGGCCACCTTGAGTCCCCTGAACACCCTTTGTTTGAGCACCGTGGCCCGTGTTCTGGTCCCGAAATGGATTTGCCTGTGAACTTGACTTTTTCCCTCTCCACTGCCTCCTTTCTGGAGCCCAACCGCAGTCTTGGTGCGGAAAACCTGCGCCCCAGCCCACCCCTCCCCTCGGTCTTCGGAGTGCTTGTTCTGACCCTGCTAGGCTTTCTGGTAGTGGCCACGTTCGCCTGGAACCTGCTGGTGCTGGCGACTATCCTCCGAGTGCGCACTTTCCACCGTGTGCCACACAACCTGGTGGCTTCCATGGCCATCTCGGACGTGCTGGTGGCCGCGCTGGTCATGCCGCTGAGTCTGGTGCATGAGCTGTCGGGGCGCCGCTGGCAGCTGGGCCGACGTCTATGCCAGTTGTGGATTGCGTGCGACGTGCTTTGCTGCACAGCCAGCATCTGGAATGTGACGGCCATAGCCCTGGACCGCTACTGGTCCATCACGCGCCACCTGGAGTACACGCTCCGCGCCCGCAAGCGCATCTCCAAAGTGATGATCATACTTACCTGGGCACTCTCGGCTGTCATCTCTCTGGCCCCGCTGCTTTTCGGCTGGGGGGAGACATATTCTGAACACAGTGAGGAGTGCCAGGTCAGCCGTGAGCCCTCCTACACCATCTTCTCCACCGTGAGCGCCTTCTACTTGCCGCTGTGCGTGGTGCTCTTCGTCTACTGGAAGATCTACAAGGCCTCCAAGTTCCGCGGGGGCTCCAGGAAGACCAACAGAGTCTCCCCTGAACCTGAAGTTGTGGAGGTGGGTGCTGCAACGACCCTTCACTTGCATCTGTGAAGGGTTTGTCTCTCCTACTCCTCCCCCATGATGCAGAAAAAATAACTTTTTGGTTGGGGGGGAGGATATCCTGGAAAGAGAAAGTGAACACCAGACCCTCCTGTGGTGCAGAGCTGCACATGTCATTTGTGGCTCTGAGGGATTGTTGCCGTACAGATAAAATGAGGGGTTTGAGCTCCATGTTCTGCTTGATCCCCTCTGGCACTAAAACCATGTGGGTCTGAAACACCGTTTAGAACATCTGAAAAAGCTGGTTGGTGTCTGGGGTACACTGAGTCAATACCCTGGAAAAACCTGCATCTTCCTGCCCTGAGAGCAGGATACTCTTGGGCAGGAAGTGAGCATGATTGCTAGGAAGATTGCCACGTATCAGTCACAACAGCTTAGGGTTTTGTTTCAGCCCTTTTTTCTTTGCAAATTATAGCAACTGACTTTGTAAATACGGCATCTCCTAGGCTACGAGCTGTCATTGTAAGCATCCTTGCCTCCTGGCATAAGATTAAAGATGTTTACAATAGTCTCAGTGCCTGCATCTGCTGTCTGCTTCTGTTGCCTTGTGGGGCTACTTTCTGGGTCTGTCCCCATGGCCCCATAAGGCTGGATGTGCAGCTGAGGGCCACTTGTCTGCCTTCCTGATCAGGAGTGAAACTGCAGGAGGAAATTAAAAACCAGGGCAGATAACTCCCCTGCTCCCTACAAGCAGCACCGAATATGTGACAACAGTGAAGCCTTTTCTCATCTTCTCTCACACTTGCTTCCCTGCTTTTTGTTAACTCTTGGTAATCTGACCCTGTGAATCAAAATTCTGAAGTTACAGGAAAGCAGAATCCACTGGATGTGGAGACTGTGCTCCCCACCTTCCCCTCTTCACGACCAAGGATGCCCCTTTGAACCTCAGTCACATATTTAAGTTGTTATTGGCTCCAGGACCACAAATACAATTAATTTATAAGTGTATGTATGCACATTATGGCTTGATGATAACACATGGTCTTTGCACATGAAGAGTTTTCTCTGGTGAGGGAGATGGACGCCCCTCTGGAGCCCTGCATGTGGCTGCATTTCCTGTAGTCAGTACCTCATTCTGTCCATACCCAGTCATTCAAGCTTAGAGGGACCAAAGCTGTGGCTAGGGGAAGAAGGGGAGAGTATTATTCTAAAAGAAAGAAGGAAAAAGGGACCAGAGGATACCGTGTCCTCAGCCCAGGGTGATACTGCAACCCAGGGAATCCTGACCATCTGGAGACATCTGACAATCAAGACCCGTGCAGGTGTGCCAATGGCATTTGTGCAGAGAGGCCAGGGCTGCTGCCCAACATGTGTGATGCACAGACTAGCCACCTCAGACCAAACGTCCACAGTGCCAGGTTTTGGAAACTCTGATCTGTTGAATTTCTACATGATACAAGGAGTACAGCCAGGTATAAATGCTAGGGCTTCCACTACTACAGAGCCCTGAGCCAGCTCCATGTGTGTGACTGTCCACCCAAATTCCAGGTCAGGAGCAAGAGGACGGGCCACCTCCAAGGGCCTTCTTCACATGAACCTTCTTCAGCCAGGATGCTCATCCAGGCAAACATGGTTTTCAGTTAACACCACACACAGCTTTAGGAAGCAAAATTAATTGAAGTTCTAATTCAAGACTTATTGTGGAAGAAAGAGCATTGCTCTATTTCTCTGCTTTGATGATAGGGGAAGCAAAAGCATTATGTCGTCTGTGTGTGTGTGTGTGTGTGTGTGTGTGTGTGTGTGTGTAAATGCACACACACACACACACACAGCTTGTTTTTGCTCTCTTTGCCCGATTACTTTTGGAGTCAGATCCTGTGGTTTGCAAGGCCTCTGCATGATCCAGGGCTCTGCACATGTTGCAGGGCTGCGTTGGTCCTTATGTTGAAGGGTTAATTACAAACCAGGCTTCCTGATTGCTCTGTGATAATGGGTGTCAAAATTTCTAAATACAGTTCTACCACCAGCTAGCTGTGTTACCCAGGGAGACCACATCCCATCTTCCTAGTTTCTTTATCTGCTGAGTTTTATTCAAATTTATGCTGAAGCCCTAACCTATGTGAGACCCTCTGCTGGGAACTGCCAGTCCTTGCACAGGATGAGGGGCCACTCTTGAAGCTCTGAAGCAATATGACAGACAGCCAGACTGGTCAGGCATGCCCCCCTGAGCAGAGAGCAGGACACAGGTCTTAAGGGTGCTCTGGGAGGTATGGAGCTCAGGCTCGGCCCCCAGGTGCGAGGGTGTCGACACCATCTGAGCAAGCAGCTGTTCTTTGCTTGTATCTCTGGGGGTGCTCATTGAGCACACCCCTGGTGGGCTGACTTAGAAGTGCGGGGCTGACACTCAGAGGCTGGTTTGTAAAAGCACCATCACCAAACTGAGTTGCCCAGGATTAGTGGAACAGCTTAAAGTTGGCTCTGCATTTCAGTCTTTTCCTTAGTCTACGGAACATTCAGTTGTCAGCCCTTCACTCTTGGACCTCATGTAGCCAAAGCTTCTGGAGAGACCATGGAGAGCTGTCCACGTTTTCACCCCTGGTTTTGGTTCTCCTTGAAGGTGAGGTTTCACCTGTGAAGAGCTGATGGTAAGATCGCATGTCCAGGGACAGGAGTGTAGCTCAGTGCGGGAGGACATGCCTAGCATGCAGAAGGCTCTGGGTTCCATCCCCACCCCTGGGACCAGGGAGGACCGCGCATCAATTAGCATGATTTTAGCCTTCTTTAAGAGTCATGTGTTAAATCACCCATCAGGTCAGCCTTGTGCAGAAGCATGTGAAGTCCTGGACTCTGAGCAAACAAGTGTAACTAGACACACTATAAGGAAGGGACCCGAAGAGCTCCTGAACGCTCCTGAGATCTCCCAGTTCCGCTCTGAAAGCAAGTCCCAAAGGTTCCAGGCATCTTTCTATGTCTCTAGGTTGACTTTTCTTCTAGCTTAAATATAGATAATTTTCTGCTGTAGTAATCCAGTTACAGCATAAGGAATTAGCTCTGCTTGCCTAAAAGAAATGTAAGGCTATTCCATTAATCATGACCATGTGGGTTAGGATACTTAAGCTGCTTTATTGTGGCCTTAAAGCCTAGGCTGTAGAATTCGCTATGCCACCAACACAGGCATTATTCACTATGCGTTTTTTTTTTTTTTAAATGAAAACCTGTATTTATCTAACTTCTATGAATGTGGTCACTATCATAGTGTTTTCACTGAAAAAGTTGTATCCTCTGGAACTTTGTAAGGAGATACAGTCCACGAAAGTATGAGAGAGTAAACCCTAGAGTGGCCTGATTTATGGTTCTGTTGGGCACTTCACCTGGCTCCTGGGAGAACATGGAGAAGCTTCCCTCAGCACAGGATGACGGTCCAGGATCTACGCAGGAGGTCAACTCCAATGTGATCAACTCCAACGTAGTTGTAGACACATGGTTCATGAGTACTACCCAAGAATCACCGATTCCCAGGGTCATCTGCTTGTTTCAAGGCTTTGGTCAGCCACCAGTGTCCACACTTCTGCATTAGAGGCCCTCTGGAAGCCCTCAGTTTAGAACTATTTTAGGTGGCACCAAGTTGTCCAGTAATTTACATTATTCTTTTAAAAGAGTACCTGAAGAAGGTGCTTCTATAGCATGTTAAATAAATGTATTATTCTGAACACATACAGTTGTTACTCTACTATTTTTTAAGCATTTATTTTTTAGTTATAGCTGGACACAATATCTTTATTTTATATTTATGTGGTGCCGAGGATTGAGCCCAGTGCCTCATGTGTGCTAGGCAAGTGCTTTCCCTCTGAGCCCCAGCCCCAGCCCACGTTACTTTACTTTTTAATCTTCTCTTTTATTTGAGTAAATTGGCATGTCCTGGAAATGGCCACTGTTCAGCCATTGAACAATTTGACTTCTGCAAGAAACTGAATTTCATAAGAGAGACTGGACTGCTTATTTTATATCAAACCTGGTTTTGTCCATTTTATTAATATTTATTAAATAAAATATCCATCTCCAAACAATAGTCAGTTGGAGCATGGACCTAGTGTTGCAAAGGTCTGATCTAAACAAGGTCACGTCAATTTCAGAAGCACCATCAGGATGCTGTGATTCCATCGGCTGAGGATTTTAGAGTGGCCGGGTCCTGTTTGTTTGAGCACTGGCTGGTACTGGGAAGGGAAAATCACTACTACTCAACTGGCGGGAACCATTGGGTCATTTTAGTTAGCAACTGGGGCGTATTACATGTGGTGACCCAAGATTTAAAGGCCTACCCTAAAGTGTTGACTACTTTAGTTGATGCTGGCAATTGGCAGGGAGGCAAGGCCTTGGTGACTCGATGAGGTGGGGACTAGACTAGGTCATTGTTCTTCCACAGGTGTGACCTCGTGGTGAGCTGCATAGAGCATGGCTCAGCATGTTCTTTTATGTATGAAGATAAAAGTTTATGACAACCTAGGAAGAATTCATCTGAATCCATGCATTCTGTGTCCATGGATCTGTCTGGCTGTGGGGTCTCCTGTCCTAGGACAGAGGTTCTAGTGACTTCTTGAGCTACACACGGTAGAGGTATTCTCCTGCCTAGATCAACTACAGTCTGGTCAAGTAGAGGGCTGCAGCTCTCATCTGAAAGCAGCTCCTACATGTTGAACCTGTGGATATGTCACAGGGATGAAAGAAGTAGTCTTCTGATAATGACCTTGAACATCAGTTGTAAGTTGGCACATAGGATTGCTAAAGATTCTTGCTACTTGAATTTTTCTATCAAACAAAGTTGACTTTCCCTCAAGCCTTTAAAATATTTAGTATGTAGTCATAAATTTGTCTTTCATTATTTCCCTTTACCGTCTGCTACAACCAATCATCTTGTTAAAGAAATTATTTCCTGTTCTTAATTTTTAAAAACTCACTACAAGTTGATTTGCTTCTTTGCTTCAGCTAACTTTAAAAAATTATGCTGAATGATCTGATGTTCTGTAGTGGAGTTAGAGGTGGTCATAGGGAACCTCACACAGCAAGAAAGACATTCATAATCACCCTTGGATGGTGAGAAGGGTGGGGATTTGTTGGGTGGTAACATCTCCCTTGAAGTTGCTTTGTTGGACAGACTTTAGATGGCTGTCATTCTGCTTTTTAGCTAGTCTAGGATGTTGAGCCTCTTAAGGACCTGTTTGCTGGGGACATACATATATAGTAAGGCTGAGGCTGGCAGGACTGACCGTGACGCGTAGCACAGAAGCTCTGTGCTGGCTCAGCAGTTCATACTTGTAAACAATGCCTCAGGGTCTCAGATCTCTGACCACATAGAGGCAGAGAGGGGCCTTGCGATTACTACCCCAACCATCATTGAGCTGGACACCCATTAAACACAGTGGCACACTCACCAATTTCCAGGACAGGATGGTTCTCCCAGATGTTTTGTAGGCGACCCAAAGCAAAGTTTGACCATTAGTTTTTCACAAGCTGGCCAGTTGTCTAAAAGTCCTCAAAGCATCTTGGACCCTCAGGTCTGCTTGAGTTGCACTGGAAGCTTACCAGGCCTATGCCTTCTAGAATAATCTCTCTCATCATCATCATCAGAAACAGGCATTCCAAGACCCACAAAAAACTGAGCCCAAGACTTTGTTCGTATAGGCAAACATAGCTAAACCCAAGTCAGCAGCAGTAGAGCGCCATCATGTTTGCTAGTGGTACAACTCCAGACAATAGGTCTAAAGCTTTATGTAATGGTCTAAGTCAATGACCTAATGGTAGACCTCTCAATCAGAAACCTAGGTACTTCATACAAAGACCTTGGCCTCGTGACCTTGTGTCAGGACATACTTGGTTACAAACCCTAGAACAGTAAAGTACACTGAGCAGCAAAGCCCAGGGGACTCAGAGGAACTCGGACCACCAGCATCAGTACTTACCTACAGAGCTGAAGGGCAGCTGGAGTTGGGGCCCAGTGAATGTACCTGGGGTCCAAGGATGCCACAGTCCTCAGGTCCTGAGTGGGACCACCAGAACTGTGCAAGGGCGAGACGGAAAGATGGAAAGACCAGCTGATTCATGGCACCGATTGTTAAGAGAAAGCTCTGGGCTTCAGGCATCGGCCCCAGAGCAGAGAAGCCTGTGTGCCATTGCTGGGGGCTGGGTGGCAGAGTGCAGGGGTGATTGGGAGGAGCAGTGAACTGACCATCATCTGAACCGTAGGGTTGCTGGGGCTGAGAGGTTCTCAGAGCTGCACTTTGGGGGGAGCCCGACCCCATCGGCTGGCAAATCATGCAAATGGTTTTTGATGCAGAGCAAAACACGTGCCACCCAGTGTGACCACCTCCTCAGTGTCACCTGTGGGAACTTCCTGGGGGTGGGAGAGTCTGGCCAGGATTGTTTTTTCATTTTTGGACAATGGGGAAAAATGCTCTCCCTGATACGGTTTTGAAGTTGAGTTTATTTAGGAAACTGGTAAGTGTCCCTGTCTCCTTATTGCTGAATATTGCATACACATTTCTACAAATGAGTCCCTAGAGACACATTCCCAGATGTGCATAAAATAAGATCACAAGTAACTGGTTCTGTTTGGGGTGTGAGTGGGATACAGGAAGAGGGATTTTTCACTTCCTCTCATGTCTGATGTTAAAGATTACAGTGCTCTAAACTAGTTGTTGCAATATTTGTCTTCTTTTCAACTGCACAGCACTTGATGTTTTACTTTTTTTTAACAAATGCCAGCAAGGCTACCATCCAACTAGAATAATGCATACACTGACCATATTATTTTAACCACAGTGTTCTTATTTCCATCTCAGATATTCTGAATGAGAGATCTGGGTCTTTTGACTCCGATTTATAAATGTATCCACGCACTGGTTAAGCGGTTGGATTCAACCAGGCATATTTTCTGATAATCCTGGTGCTGATAAGTCTGCATGTTGCTTAAGGACAAGCTCCTTTAAAATACGTGGGAGCCACAGGATGCTGGAGTCTGGAAGACCATTCAGTCTCACCTGCCAGAGAAGCACCGATTGGCCCAGAACCAGCCGCGCGTTTTGTTTGACTCAATCTGTGAGTTCATCCATCGCTTGCAACTCCTTGGAATTCAGGCTGCCACCTCATCAGCCATTCAGTTCCTGTTCTCCTGAGAGCTAAAAATAGGACTGGCCTGGAGAGGAGTTTCTTTCCCAGGAATTCCATTTCCTGGGGGAAGGAAGTGAGCCAGGGCTCAACTCTGCAGGACCCTTCCCTGCAGAGGCCCGGGGAGTCACCAGGAGGGCAGTCCCAGAGTCTGGAGTCTGTCCCACAGGCAGAGATGCCTGCAGTAGGCACACGTAAGGGCTGTCCCCTCTGCTGAGCAAGCGGATGCCCCTGCCGTGCCACCTCCTCTCAGATGCAAGTGGACACCCAGCTCTGTCACTATGTCCATGTCCCAAGTCGGGTCCCACGGGCCTCGGGATCCCACACTAAGCCCCACACCTTCCCTCAGAGCGGAGGAGCAGGGCCAGCCCAGGGGCACCTGGCTGGGCCTGGCCGCGTCTGGCAGGTGGGACAAGGGGGCTCTCCACAAAGCTTCTGCTTGTGTCTTGCAGGTGAAGAACTCTGCTCAGCAGCCCCAAATGGCGTTCACGGTCCGCCGAGCCACCGTCACCTTCCAGACAGAAGGAGACACGTGGCGGGAGCAGAAGGAGCAGAGGGCGGCCCTCATGGTGGGCATCCTCATCGGGGTGTTCGTGCTCTGCTGGATCCCCTTCTTTGTCACCGAGCTCGTCGGCCCCCTCTGCTCCTGGGACGTCCCTGCCGCCTGGAAGAGCGTCTTCCTCTGGCTCGGCTACTCCAACTCCTTCTTCAACCCGCTCATCTACACGGCCTTCAACAAGAACTACAGCAGCGCCTTCAAGAGCTTCTTCTCCAGGCAGCACTGAGGAGAGGCCGCCGGTTCCCCCACAGCCCGCGACGTCCTCCCGGTGCCCCAGGCCCGCCCCAGAACTCGGTGGGCTCCGTTCTGCACTCGCCCGGGGCACAGGCCTCCGGAGGCTCTGGTGCCGCCACCTGCCCAGCTCCTCTGCCACGTTCTGCGACAGCCCCTCGCCTGCCAAGAGCCTCTCCTTCCTCAAGCCCACCCCAGCGTGGCTGTCGGAGGAGGCGGAGGAAAGAGAGAGGGAGGGACGTCAGAGTGACAAGCCATCACGGGCCACGGTGGGGACGCGGGGGGAGAGAAGACCAACGTCCCAGCTTCCTGGGTTCTGCCCGGGTCTGGTGAGATCTCCCGACTGAGTATTGGGTATTTACGGTTTTTACTCACAAAATATCATCTCCAAACATATTAAAGGGCATGGCCTCTTCTGTGAGCCAGTGACTTTTGGCTTTAAGATTTTGTTTGTGGCATTTACACACACACACACACACACACACACACACACACACCCTATGGAAGGACAAGTGTTCCAATTGGTAGCTTACTCCAAAGCACGACCCATCGGCTTGGAATAGGTTCTAAGAACCAAATGTAGTATTTTCTGCCCTTTTGAAGCAACTGTCTACAAACATCAGAAAAATGGACTAGTTTCAAAGAATCTGCCAAACTTGCTGATTTGCTCTGGGTTTTGTGTGCGTGGAATTCCTTCAGTGTTTCTGGGCAAGGGCCATCATCCTGGGATCATGGGGTCAGAGTGAACCCACTGTTGTGAAGTTGCGGAGTTCTTGAACACAGCTGCACAGCCAGTGACCACGAGGACACGGTCACCAGGTGTGTGTGCTTTACCAGGACTGGATGCATCTGTGGTTGCTGCTTTGTTGGCCTGTGAACTCCTGCCAGGAAGCCGACTGGGTGAGCAATGAGGAAGACATTACCATGCCACAGGTGGCCACCCTCCACAGAGCAGCAGTCCAACGGCCAGGCAGGACGAGGTGCCGTGGCCTTCATGACCACACCCACGTCTCCAGAGCCAAAGGACCTAGAAAAACATCCCCAAAGAGTCTGAAGAGATAGTAGACACTGTCTTTCTAGAATAGTGTGTGTGTGCTGACCTCGCACCAAGAGCAGATGGTCCCTCATCCACAGGGACCTTCGGGCAAGAGGAGTGTGTCACCGTCTCAGGATACTTAGTTCTCAGCAAAATCCCCACCGATTCACTGCCTCTGCCGTGACCATGGCCACAGACGGGAGCAGAGGATCTGTGGGTTAAATCACAGTGGTCTGTCACAGGATGCCTCTCTATAACCATGGAGAAGCCGTCTGCTGAGGGGTCCCTGGTGAGCGGGCAGGAGAGGCCATGGGCTTTGGCAGTCACCTTCAGTCGGACAAAATGTACTTCTTTAATTGACCAGAAGTGCAACTGCTGTCCTCCTCCAAGGTTCTGACCTTAAGTGGAGCCGATGTTCCCCAAGACCAGAGACCTACCGTGTAGGGACATTGGCCTCGAGTGACCGTGTCTTACCCTAGGGGACTCCGTCTGAGCCACTGTCTCACATCCACACAGGATGGACAGCAAACGAGGCCTCTTCCTCATCCCTAAGAACAGGCCTCAGATCCGTAAGCAGCTTCTCACAACAAGGCTGTGCTACCGGTGATTGTTAAGCAAGGGCTTTTTTACCTCCCTCAGAACTGATAGAATACATTGGAGACTCACTTGGGGAACCCTGTGAAGTGCTTGCAACACGTTCTAAGTCGAGTAAAACCTGAGCTGTTTTCTTAACTAACCATGGCTCTTTAGTCAGGAGCCCTCGGTGTGGCCAATCTTAAAAGCAAAAAGCAAGTAGCAGCCTGATGGTCTGCCTCTTTGCTGCACTTCCTTGAGCTCTAGGTATAAATAGCCAGCTGTTGGTGTCTACCAGATTCTGTGATAAATATATACAAAAGGTACCGTATTTCATCCTGTCACACCAAAGGATTCTGACCCCTCCAGATCTCCCCTGTCATGGCATCTGGTGACTTCACTCACATCAAGTAGCAACCAAATAACAATACACCTTGGCCATTGCCCAAAACTTTAGCCTGCTCCTGGCCAATAAGCTCCCTGTGGCTGCTGTGTCCCTGTCCTTGCACAAGTTCAGAAGCTGTGTCTTACAAGGCTCTCTTGAGTTATTCTGGCACACACAATAATAAATGTGTGACACATTATGTAGAATGAACTTCATCAGTTAGGCTTTCCAAAATAGGAAGTGAATGACGATTTCTCTGTGTTCTGACTTGAACCTTCGTATCCCATTGACTGCGGAGCCCGTTACGGGAGGGAATGTCAATCACTGGGCCTCATGACTCGGAAGCTGAAGTCAGGCGCCTTGTCTGCCCTGCAGGAGGAAGATTCACTGAGGGACTTACCCGGACACGTCTTTAAGTTTCCCTTCCTTCTGTGTGTATCTTTTGCACGACTGAACTCACAGATATTTAAAAGCACACACTATTATTTACTCACTTTACCTGTCTCCACTTGCAACGAGAGAGGTCCTCAAATGCCATTTGTATTCCAGTGTCATAATAGATGAAGCCACCCATCAAGTGACCCACAGAAGAAAAAAGTAAACTCCGACATGGGAATCCAGAGAGCAGAGTCCGGAGCAGGTTTCAATGTCAGGTTGACCTGAATGTGCACACGAGGGCTCTCCTGCTCTCCTGAGGTCAGCGTTGGTCTTGTTGTTAGTGAGAGGCATGTTTCCTCCAAACTTTTCTTAAATGGAAATTGGGAAGACGTGTGGTTCCAATGCTTCCTGACTCCCCCATGGTTCTGTACACCCAATAGAGAAAGACGCTGTTATGATATTAATTCAGTCTCCAGCTAAGGTGATTATCAGCCTTTTCATAAGATGACTAAGATGAGGCCCCTTATCAGCCAATATGTACTTGACGTGTCCCAGACAGCGCTGACATGATAGAAAACACATTCTCCCTGTGACAGCTAGAGCAGAAAGCACTTGGTGTACAAGAAGGAATGAGTGGCAATTAATGAATTATTTTGCTTCCGTTTCAGTATGAAAAGTTAAACAATTTTTCATATTTATCCCAGGGGAGAAATATCATGATTCTGATTTTGATTGAGTCTGTTGTGTGCAATTCAAATACTTTCATTTACTCTTGGTTGCAAACGTGTTATCAGGTTAGCAATAAACCCAAATCACAAACATAAGGAACCTATTAAACAGCAGCTCCCTGTCCTTGTGCCTTAAGGTAGGGAAACCGAGGGGAGGAGGGTTTCCTGCACATCCTGGATTCTCCACGGCCACCAGGCCACCTGGGAAGCTCCTGCAGAAGATGTCCATGAAACAGCAGCTCTGTCCCCACTAAAGATGTCACACTAAGAAGGCAGTTCTCTGGAGACGGACGGTCTTATACTCCTCAGGGTCATTTCCAGTTTTGGTTTTCCTTGTAGAGTGGTGAGGGGCAGTAGCTGCTTCTGACTCTGTATTGACCCAAGGTCATTTCATGGACCTTATTCCTGAGATGAGCTGATTATTTGCTGCTCCTCCTAAGAGGGGCTCTTCTGCTTCTGTGCTGGTCTGGTGGCCTCTGTGCTCTCCTCGTCGTCCAGAGGCCACGAATGCAGTGACCTGTGGCCCTGCTGTTAGGAAGGACGTAGCCTGAGCGTGAACTCACAGTGCACATGGATTGCTAGCTGCGGTTGACTGAGCAGGGGAGACGAGGCTTCTCGGTGGGGGCCAGTGTCGGCCCTGCACTCTCCGGAGCTCAGGGGCCCTGACTGGCTGCCTACGCGCGGCTGTGGGCTGGATGGTCTTCCTTCATCACAAGGCGCCCCTCCTGGCCTTGACCTCACTGTGCATGCAAGGCACCTGCCCAGGGTGCGGGCGGCCATCTGCAGGCTACGTGACTCTGTTAGGAACTGTTGGTTCCACATGGTTCCTTCCAGCCGTCTCTGCCTTCTGCTCTGGCTCCATTCAGCCTTCAGTCCTCCTGGAAAGGACACCTGCCTTCAGGCCTCACCTTCAAAGCCCACGACCCTGTCACCCGCAGCCTCCTTTGCCAGCCTTGGGCTGGAGGCTGCTGGGCCAGCGTGGCTGCCCAAGGCAGGAGACTCAGGACAACGTCCAGCTAACTCACAAGGTTCCCTCAGGGTCAGAGGCCACCCTGGACCAGGAGTGGTCATCCACATGTGTTGGGCGCTGACTGCATGCAGGGCAGGGTGCTGAGCACATGAGGTTTGCCTTTGGTCCTCACAGCGGCCCTCTGCAGTGGAAATCGACTCGAGGTCTCTTGAGTCATGTAAAAACGAGCAGGGTTAGAACCTGGGTCTGACACCAAAACCACGCCCTTGGGCTCTGCCCGTAGCACGGAATCAGCCTTTAGAAGTGAGAAATGGTGTATGGGGTCCAGGAGACGGCAGAGTTTGGGCAGCCCCTGGCTCCCGATGTCCCCACCCAGGGCACCTGCACACCAGCTGCAAAGGAGCCAGCTTCCCCAGGGGCCCTTTGAGCCTTCTCCACTGCATCCTTATAAAATCTGGGGCCTGGGTGTCACCCATGAGTGACCCCAGCTGTCCAGTCAGCCCTGCCCTGTGTCAGGACCAAACGGACTCACACACCTTGGCTGAGGGCCCAGTGGGTCCCACACAAGGTTCTGGACAGATGGGAGACTCTGGGTGGGAGTCGGGAGGGTTTGGCGCTCGAGGGTGACCGGGTAACTGGTAAAGGGAGGTGCTGATGCTGACCTCCGTACCCTTAAAGCCCAGGCCACATCACCTCTGGCAAATGCCCCGTGTTGCCCTTCCGTCCTCCCAGGACCTCTGTAGACCCGGGTGGAGAGAAGCCACACTTCACCCGCCTGCCCTGCCAGCTCTGGAGGGAGATTGGGGGCTGCAGCAGAAGAGGGACCTCGTCCCCGTGGGCAGTCTGTGGTGAGTGGGAGCAGCAGCTGGGCCCTGTGGGCCTGTGTCCTGCCCTTGCTATACTCCCTTGGAGTGCCAGCACTGCCACCGCAGCTCAGCAGGGTCCCCAGCTCCTGGGTGGCAGAGTGGGTGGGCAGGTCCCCTTTCTGAGGACCTCAGCCCTGGTGTCTGCAGGTCAGGCAGCTGTGGGGTGCCCCTCAGGGGCGCAGCTGGGCCCAGCTTGTGTGAGCCTCTGGGTCTCAGCAATCCCTCCACCTCTCCCTTCAGCCCAGTCTGTCGGCCCTGCTACACTCTGCATGAAGTTCTGTTCCTGGGGCTGGTGGGGCTGCACTTCCTGGCTGTGCTGGAGACGCTGAAGTGACGTGCAGCGGGCAGGCGCCATGTGCCAGGGCAGGCTGGCTAGTTCGGGCCCCTCTGTGGGGTCTGGTCTGCTCAGGCCTGGTGGCTGGCCCAGCAGCTGACTGCTCCTTTATTGTCACCACTGCACCTCCTCCTCTGAGGCAGCCCGACAGGACGGAGGCGCCATCCAGCCTCCAGTGGGAAGAGGTTTTGGAGGTGAAGCCCCTCGGGGCTCCCAGAGCAGGGTGTGAGGTGGGGTTGGCAGCGACGGCAGCTCCCGGGCTGCCTGCCTTTCTCTCCCCTTGTCACTTACAAACTCTGATTTTGCCCTTGGTGGTGACTCAGTGTGTTGGCTGACCGCTTCTCTGTGAGCAGACAATTTGTAGCAAAAGCAGGGAACAGCAGGCGCAGCTGCCAACCAAGCACCTTGCAGCCTGAACTTCTGCTCCTGAAGATCCGCCAACACCAGTCTTCTGAGTGCTCAGCGGCCACGCAGGGGTTCCCCCCGCTCTCCAAGTTCAGGGCTGTTCTGTTGTGTTCCCTTGGTTTTCCGCTTTCTTGGAGATTGTCCGTGGGGGACTCCGCGGTAAGCACCAGTGTGGGATGAGATGGAGGACTGCTGACCGCCCAGCCAGAAGCAGAGGGATGCACCCGGGGCCTGGATCCCCGAGCTGCTCTTCAGCAAGTGCTCAGAACTTTGAGTCCATGGGTTTTTCTTGACAGCACCCTGTTCTCCATGGGGTGGGACCGTCCCCGAGGGGAGCTGGAGTAGGCTGTGTGGATGGGGCCTGGTTGTGCTCAGCTCTTCTGGGGGGAGGAGAAAAGGTGACGGGGATAGTAAACCTTGCGTCCTGACAAAGGGACACCTGTGGGGTCAGGTGGCCGGGACCCGTGGCCATTGGGTGTTGTGTGTGCCCTGGGAGTGGTGAGGGCCAGGCCGACCCCCCAAGAGCCAGGAGCCAGGGGAGAAGCCCCTGCTCCTGCCACTCCACAGTGGCCTCTCCTCTGCGAGCTCTGGGACAGAGACCGTGGCTGGGCAGACTGTGGAGGACCAAGGTGCTCTCCTTCCGAGGGCAGGTGGCTTGTCCCGAGGTGCCTTGGGCGTGGCGCTATCCCACAGCAGAGCCGTGGCCAGGTGGTTGGTCAGGCTTTTCTGGCAACAAGCCCCTCACCTGTGCTCCCACTCCCCAGAGGATCAAGTGGCCGAGGTGGCACCTGCTATTGGGTCAGCGGCCCCTCCCTCCTGGGGGTGCCGAGTCCACCGTCAGCTCCATGTAACCAAAACCCCGTGGACCTTCTGAGACACCGAGGTTCTGGATGTCGCCTGCTCCTCTCTCCCATCGCATGGGAAGAAGTTTTCTAATACTCTGCTGAACCGGTGTCTCCTCCCTGGTGCCACCTGATTAACAGCAGTGGGCACCTTCCACTCCCGCTCCACACCCTGGCCGTGCCTCTGTGCTCTCCGTGCGAAGCTCATGCCAAACCATCATCCCCACTCCTTGGTCCTTGGAAGATCTTGAGGCAGCTGATGAGAACCAGAAAATGAATCATTATTGTGATAAAGCCTACGAGGGCTTCAGAATATCGGGGAGAAATGAGTGCTTTTCTGAAAATGTCAGGGCACCCATCACCACTGCTCTTTCCCTTCACCCGCCCAAGGGGGCCAGCAGCTCTTCTCGAGGCTGCAGAGTACGCAGGGAGAAGCCAGAGGTGCGGAAGCAGATTCTAGAAGCCTCCTGAATGCCAGGCTGCCCCGAGAGGGTGGCCACGGCCCCCGCCTGGTGAAGGTGCTGGCCCTCAGCCTGTGCAGCGTCTGTCTCTCAGGCCCCCGAAATCCATGCTGGTCTTAGAGACCCATGATCTCATACTCCCCCCGACCATGGAAGCCAGCTTCTCTCCAGGTAGGATCCTTCGTGGTTGCTGTTGGAGCCAAGGGTTTCCTCCTGCAGGCGCTGGGGTAGCAGCCAATATGGCGGCAGGGCGTGCTGATGCCCAAAGCACTGGACCTTAGATAGTTTTTGCCAAAAACTGAGAGCATCCCTGCTAGCTGAGGTCCTCATTAGAGACGGTGACAGGGCTTGCAGATCTATTGTTCTAACAAATGGCTCCCGGTGGCTGTGTTCCCAGGGTTTGCAGAACTGAGCAAACTATTAATTAACCAGAGACTTCAGCACATTGGGGCTTTGTTTTAAAAATGATGGGCTTGTTGTTTTTGAAGTCGTCATGTCTTCATGGAGGTCTCTAAAAAAAATAAAAGCTGATTTTTTTTCAGGTTTAAAAAAAGAAAACAAAAACCTTGATCTCTGAGGCTCCATGAGAAACTGAAAATAGTTTTCCGTGGGGATCATTCGAGGTTTCAAGAAGAGCAAAATCAAGTCTCACCCAGTACAGTCCTTTCTCCGTGTCCCTAGTGTGTCCTCTGGTCTGTGTAGCTTTGGGTTTCAGTTTTTTTTTTCACTTGCAAACACCCCTCTTGGAGACAAATGTTTGTGTCCCTGCAACCTTCGTGTGTGGAAGCCCAAAGCCCAGCCTGATGGCCCTGGGAGGTGACCGGGGTGAGACAAGGTCCTGAGAGCAGGACCCCCGGGAGCCTGGCTCTGCTGTGCACCTGTGAGGACTCCCCAGGAAGCCGCCGTCTGGCCAGGAGTGGAAGCAGCTGGCACTTGGGGGAAGCGATTTCTGCAGTTCAAGCTGCGCCCTCTCTGGTGGGCGGCAGCTGGGCACTGCTCACCTAAGGCAAATCCAGGTGCCTTTTTGAAGGGACATGCTCCTGGCCTGATTCTGAGGCACTTCCACACACAGCCTTGCCCTGGGGCACCGAGGTGTCATCCGCCAGGATCAGAGGCTAAGGCTGTTCAGAGAGGGGCAGGGTGGATGCCACCAGCTTGGCCACGGAGCAGGAGTGTGGAGGGGACACCATCAGTCCTGACAGGCGTGAGAGGAGGCTCCACGCGCCTCTGCCCCAGCTTTAGAGCACTCAGAAGTGTTTTGAATGGAAGTGAAAGGCCCAAGTCTGCCTTTACCACTGTGGGGTGGGGAGTGGACACGGTGGCTGAGCAGTGGGGGCAGGCACCGACTCCTGATTTCTAGCCCCTCTGGTGCCAAGCCTGCGGAGCCTGGGGACAGGGTCAGGCAGTGCTCCTCTGCAGCGTTGGCTTCACCAGTGTGTGTGCAACAGGGAGGCAGAGTGGCAGAGCAGAGGCCACAGTGCCACCTGAGCCAGGGCAGGGCAGGAGGGGCGGGCTGGAGGGACACTCAGGTGCTGGGGAGGAGGAAGACCTGACAGAGGCGGTGGGGCTGGATGGTGGGAAGGTGGGGAGGTGGGGTGGCTGGGGTGGGGCTGCGGGCCAACGCCAGGGGCCAGCACCAGGTTCAAGCACATAGCCTCAGTGGGCAACAGGGACCAACTCAGAGGTCCCTGGCCCCCCGGAGGAGAGCGGCATGGCCGTCCCACAGCCTGGACAAGTGTGGCTCTGGGGCAGCTCTGGGCCACGAGCCCCGCACCTGCAGGGGAGGGCCAAGAGCACACCTGGCCTCCAGGTGTGTGACCTGACCAGGTGGAGCCATCCAGATGGTGATCCTGGCCCCCGGGCTGGGGCGGGAACGCAGGTGCGCTGTGTAACGGCTGGAGCCTGCAGTCCTGTGCACATCCTGCAGCAAGATGCGCCCCACACCGCCCAGCTGTGCCCCCCAGTCTTCTGTGGAAACGGCATTGCCCAGTGGATGGTGCCAAGCCTCGGTCCCGGTCTCGTTGACCCTGTGCCTTTAGATCTGCACAGTGAACAATCTCAGGACAAAACTGAACCTGACGGGCTTCCCTCTGTCCAAGTCAGGGGTTGGCAAAAGGCCAGAGAGCGAGTCTTAGGCTTTGGGACTCCCGGGATGGCTGTCCTTTGCCTCCGCCATCATACAGACACAGCCGAGGGCAAATCAGAATCCAACAGCAGTGGCCGCGTTCAGGGAAACTCCCAGATACTGAAATTGGGATTTCACAAGATTTTCATGTCAAAATATTTTTAAAATCTACTTCAAAATTTTAGAAATCTTTGTTAGGGGTCATTGAAAAACAGGGACAGATTGGCCCACAGCCTGTGATTTTCCCCGCCCTGTCGAAACCTTGTGATCTTTAAGCTTCTGGCTCCCTGAAAAACGGTGACTGGGACCTGCCCTCTCTCTCGTGGCCACTTTTTAATAAGGCCTGGCTTCTTTCCGGACCTGTCTTGAGGAGTTTCTGCTGTTGCTTGTTATGTATTTTTCTGTTGGAGGCTGGGGCCGGCCGAAGTCCCTTTATTCTCACGGGTCACACCGTTTGCTCAGGAGGAAGTGCTCACCCTTATGTTTTGCTCCTGGGTCATCTTCACACGGGGCCTCTGAGTGTTTTCCCAGCACACAGGACCTTCACAGGACTCCTCCGGGTCTCACCTGTGGAGCAGGTGGGGGTCCAGTCTCCCCCCCCCCCACCCATCGGCCTCCTTCGCTGCCCCGTCCCCTCTCCTCACGTTCTCCGTTGTGCTTCTCACTGTGCCTTCGTCATCTCTGTTCGCATTGTTCACTTTTGTGATTTACTCTTCAGTTTTAAGTTAACGTTGGCCTCTCCTTCTATTTCTTTCCTAAGTTTGGTAAGTTTCAACTTTTTTCTTTAATTGTTCTCTATTTATCTCCTCAGTTTGAGTTTGCAATTTGTGGTGATCTCATTTGTGCATTTAATTATCTCAAATTTACATGAGATCGACCAAATTTCCCTCCGCATTAAATGTTTTATGTGACAGAAAGATTTGAATACAAAACTGAGCTGAGAATGTAGGCAGGCCACTCAGTTACACACAACCAATAATAAATAGTATCTATTACAATAAGAATAAGTGTATTATTCCGTCTTTTAATTAGGAAAGGGATGGACAGGACCCCGTGTAGGCATGGTCACGGACCCCTGGTGGCAGCCAAGATGCCGCCATCCTCTCGGAGAGCCGTGCGGCCTGCTGAAGGTGGAGGCTGGGTTCCCCTGGAGGGAGGGGCTGTCTTTCAGAAGAGCCTTTGTGCAATCAGCAGCAGAATCGAGCTCTGGAGGCGAGTTAACACTCGGAGCTTAATGTGACTCCGGATGCAGGACAGTTTGCAGGAGGCAGGGACTAAGGTGGGACTTGGTGGCTTCCCAAGCTGCTGTGGAGAAAGACGGGAAGCAGTGGACGCGGCTCACCAGGGGACTGTTTTAAGGAGATGCGATGAGTTCCCATCCATGAGAACAAGCCGGGCTTCGCGCTGCGTGCAGTCGCGGGTCTGAAGGAGCACGGCCCCGGGACCCCGAAATGCAGGCGACGTTCCAGTGTTCCGGGGGTTACACAACAGAAAGTGAAGCTTCACAAAGGTTGGTGACCCCAAGCCTGGAGTCGGCTGTGACCTGAGGATGAGGGCAGCCAGTGCCCGGGGGGCAGCAGGAGGACCACCCCTGAGGACTTTAACTGGACACAGGGCACCCCTGAGGAAGTCAGCTGGACACA